CTGGGCCCAGACTTACATGCCTTATAGGTGTTAACTCTCCACATAAAATGTACCACAATTCAGAAACAAAAGCACTGCATACTTTAGGACTTAGAGGAGAGTCAAGCATAAAATGGCTTTATGCTGGCTCTCAGCAGTAGGCTGAATTCCACCTTTAATGAACTCGGTATGAACTAGGCTTTTCCAGTATCTGCAGGACAGGCCTACTGTTAGATTAGAAAACAGTCATTGTTTCACTGCAGCCAAGTAATTCTCAACATATGCACATTTGGATCTGAATTTTGACATTTGCTTTAGTAGGAAATAAGCAGATAAAACACAAATCAACCAAAAGGGCAAAATAATGCAATTATTACCTGTCTATATACCTGTGAAGAAGATCGAGCCAAATGACTACATTTAGTTCTTTGCATGTGCTGGCTTTAATCACTTCTTTGTTCTGTGTTTGTACAGTATCTAGACCAACAGGGTCCATGCCTTAGCTTTCTAGGATCACACCAAAACCAATTCAATCAGTACCTCCACTTGCTCAAGTGTTTTGGTTTTGATCAAATCCAGTGGGAAAACAAGCGTACATTGCCTTCTTACTACCCACTACTCCCACAAGATTCCATTATAAATATTAGTATTAAAAGGAGAAAACACATTCAAGGCAGTAATATTTTTTTACTTCATTAACAGAATTATTATTCCCTAATAAAATTCAGAAAACTGACCACCAAAGGCCTATTTCATGAGGCCATATCTAGCTGTAACTGTGAATGAAAAATCCCAAACTGAAGAAGGAAGAAATACAGTGATATGGCAACTTGAATCATTGGCATTTTTAAGATGAAAACTTGGCCTGAGCTTGATGGAAAAGGCTTTAAATTAGTTGTGCTGGAAGGCTGACAACTGGCTTGAAATGGGAATAAGACTGAAATTGACCATCCGTAGCTCTGAACACATACATATGCAATTACTCCTGATGAATATACCCCTGATTGACTTCATTTGCAGACACTTATCCTGACCATGTGCAACTCTTGCTTCTATAGCTTAACCTACATTTTAAATATAGGTTCTCCTAAGAATTATGTTTGTCCACAATTAACTTCCTAACTTTTAATTCCCAAACTTGTGCAATCAAAGGACGAAGGCACATACTGATCTCATTCAAATCAGTATTACTAGCAGAAAACTGTATCAAACAAGATTTCTGCAGCAAAATTAACAAAAAGTTTCAAGTAGAAAGGTGCCCTGCCCATATTCACCACTGCTTCCTGGCTGCTGTGTTCTGATTCAGTCCTGCAAAGCTCCCAAGCTCTCACCTCAGTAATGATGAGGTGCAGGCAGTTTTTCATCTGAGCCACCCGAGGCCCAGCTGGTGGCTAAGCCCACCGCCAAGCTCCATTTCAGCTGTCCCATAATCAATAAGGACACAAAGAAAGTTACTTATTGATCTGATTTGATCTTCTATTATGTGGTCATCTCAAAGTGCAACCGTGTAAGTGTGGGTGGTAAAGTGAGATGAACTGCAAGTGTTCAGAAATGCATCCCTTTGCCAAGGAGGACTGAAAAGATAATCATGACAGTGCAACAAAAATAATACCCATTAGATAATACTGGTTAATTTCAAATCTTTGCCTTGCATCCTGTTTACAGCATCTGCCATTTTTCATTCTCATTTCTTTTACTGTTCTATGTATCAGCAATGTTTTATTCTACAAGAGTACAAAGAAAACTGAACTTTGATAAAGCACATACCAAGTACATATCAAAAGATATGTATGTACCTCTGTACTTTATCTTCAAGCACATTTCAGATGGCAAAAAAATTTACTTTCATTAATAACTCTGAAGATATAAAAAAAAAAATCCATCTCTTAAATACAAGAAAGACAGACGATGTCTTTGCTTAGATAGTATATTCCAAGTATATTAAAATGTTATTGCATTAAAAGAACAGCTCAGATTTAAGCTATTTGGGATGAATTCAAATCAAGTGCCAGAAGACATACCAACGGAGGTAACTACCACCTGGGAGAAAAACCCAGGCAGTTCTCATCTTACTAAAGACAAAGGGAACCTTTTCAGCATCCTGCTTTGCAAAAGACCTTTGAGCCAAGCAAACTGCCACTCAAAACAACGGCATACAAGATGACCACATTTCTTTTCTCAGTTTCTCTGTTCATTTACCTCACCCATGTTCATTAAAATAGAAAAATGAGAAGCACCTACCCTGTCAGCCTGGAAGAAAGCACCATATCCTTGGGATGTATATTAAACACAGTAAGATAATGTTTAGTTTTAAATCAAAGTATTCCCCATAGCTGTTAGCACACAGAGGTTCTCTCAGCTCTGCTGGAGGATGTGCAAACATCTACTCAAGGATTTAGAAAGGGCTAATTCCTAATTCCGTCGACTAAGCCTGCTTGCTGCTATGGACTGCTACAAGCTCTATTCCTTTCAGGGACTTACTGGTTGCCCAAGGTGACAGTGCTGTGTCACAACTAATCATGAAAGTGATATGGTAAAGGCTTTCTAAAAATTCAGCTTTGAGTAAAAAGATCGAATTACTCAGTCTCTCACCTTTTAGGCCTAAAAACCAAGCAGGTGTTTTACTTTTCCTGTATTAGCTGATATACAATAAAGTTACATATACTTTCCATTCACAAGCCAAACTGTCACTCCAAGAATCAGTGACAGCAGACTGGCACAGGTTGATACAACTCTCCAGATGGCAGCAATTCTAAAAAAAGAGAAGGTCAAGCCATGCCAGTAAAAGGGGTGTGTGTGTGTGTATGTTCATTTTTCAGTTTTGGGTGTAGGCCAATTTACCTTTTCTAACCACGTAACTTACAACCAGGCTGATTACCAAACAATAGAGCAAATCCTAGGAGAGGTTAACACCTGTAACTGCCATCCACAGCAGGAACAAGAACAATGGTATTGATTGGAGACATGTTGTTTGATGTTCCTTGCTACTTTGAAAAGAAACAAATATCTAGTAACCTAGCTGTGATCCTAATGAAACTTTCAAAAAACAGCTGAAAATGACATTACTCAGCAAGGCATCCTCCAAGGAATATGTAAGCGGAGACATGGAACTTAACAAGATTTGTGTATCACAAGTTGTTTGTATTTCTGTAAGGGAAATTCTGTATTTTAAGTCAATACTGACAAAAATCTAAATGAGGCATTTCTGGTTTAGGTTGATTTCTACATCCTGTAATATAGTTTGTTCTTTGAAACTATATTGTTCCTTGAACAAACTATATTGTGGCATTTAGCTTCAATCTGTGCTCACCTGGACTACTGCATTTCATCAGGGGATGTGTAGCTGGCTGCCTATCTTCCTTGGTGGCCTGTGCCCAGTACCTCACATAATGCAGTATCTCAACTGACTGGATGGATAGGATTCCTTCTGGAAGCCAGAAGAACACAACATGACAGTGAGTTACCCACTAAACTAGCCCTGGATAGAAGCAGCATCTAAAGCTTTCCACTTCTTGACTAACTTCACTATTTTAACTTTGAGCTCCTACAAAATGACTTCTTGAATTGTGCATTTATAGGGCTTTACATTAGTGCTTAAGCTCAAATCTTATTAGGCTCCTTGGGGATCACAGTACTTCCAGCTAGTAGTCCAAGTCTTAACAGTTCTCTGGTGTTTTCCCACATCCTTTCATAATAGTCTGATCAGATGCTATTTACATTTTTTAACATACAGGCCAGACAGATTGTCTTTGATATTTAACAATAATTTGGTCTCTGCCTGATGCTTTAGGCTAATATTTAATTTCAAATGAGAGATTAAAATATTGCAGCTGGACATAACTGCACCAGAGACTGCAGACAAAGAATTCCATTTAGAAAACACACACATGAACCAGTAATCCCATTTTCATCAACCTCAAATTTCTCCTTAACCTCAGTAAATCTGGTGCATGAACATATTCCAGAAAATTAAAATATTTATGAGAGCTCATACAACAAAATGTCACTTGCAATTAGCCACCTTGAGCTAGTCTGTAGCATCCATCTTCTTTACAAAGTTCAAACTATTACACTGTAAAACAATTCTGTGTACCGAGGTCTATCTTTAGATAATCCCCTGATATTCAGATTCCTTATGGTCCCATTAGAGAATACAACATGTGCCACAGAGAACCCTCTAATCATGAAAAAAATCTTTGAAGTTTTTTTCCAGATATTCCAAGCAGGAATCTGTGTAACGATGACAGAAGAGAGAAATGAAAGAAAAATCTCTTCTCATCTTAGCCATTCTTTTTATGGTTTCTCACTTCCTCCTTTCTGCTTTTAGGGCATGGAATTGCTCTCAGATATGGAGACATCTGTGTCATAACAGTAGATAACGCTTTTCCTCGTAGGATATACCACCTCACCCATGAGCCACAGTAATTTTTTTTTTTGCTTCTTTTAACCAAAGGATGTCTCATGAGAATTTAGCCAAGAACAAAAGCCTTTCTTAAACGCACTGAGCACCTGCACCAGAAAAATCCCATTCCTATGTGTATGATTACTTAAACAAAGCATCTTTGCAGGACAGAGTGCTAGATAATAAGCTGCCCTCTGGGTAAACCTTTTCTTTTGCTCACCCTCCCCTCCTCATTTACTGGGCAAATGATTTTCCACAGAGGTGACAAGACAGTTGCAGGAGAAGTTCTCAATGTCTGCCACGTGTTACTCTGCCAGAAATGCAGAGTTCTTGCCTGAAACGCATGGAACAGCACACTTCCCATAACTGAAATAACTCTGTGGTCTGCTACTTTCGAAACAACGCTGCAGTTTCCATAAATGGGAAACCATTTACGATTAATCTGCTTTGTAATTATCAGTCTTGAATAAACTACCTTCAGAGTTGCATTTTCTGCACAGCAGCACATGCCAAATTAAAAGCACTATACAGGTTTGTATGCACTTCTAAATTGAGTTGATTTGTTTTGTGTGTCCTAAAGCAACTAGAAAAGTGGTAATTAATGCAGCCACAGACGAACCTTTAATTATTCTTCGTGTTTTGTAAGTCCAGGAGATGGACGTTCCCATTTGGTTTCTCAGTCTCGATGGCACACAGCGACTCCTTCTGGTTTAGGTTCGTTTCTGTCTCTTTTTTACCTCTTTCCTGCGCGTCCAGCTAAGCTTCCCTACATCATCCACACCGTCAAGTCCCAGCAGATGGAGCTAACAAGCCACCTGCTTGGTTTAGCTAGACAGAAAAGACAAAACTGGCGTCTAGACCAGACCGCTATTAACAATACTAGCTGGTAAGAACTTCTCTTATGCAAATCAAATATCCCCCTGTGATGAAGCAAAGTGATGGGCACCTTCTTCTCTACCCTCCTAATTTAAACCATTGATCTCATATCAGTACTTTGCTTATCCCTTCTTCAGAGAACCATGGAAGGTAAAGGCAGACATGAAGAAGGCAAGGTGGCTCTACACTTGAGTAATTTTTCATTTTCATTGTCAAAGTCACAGTTTACCATGGATATGAACTTCCTAGTTAAGCAATTACCAGTCCCAGATGCTACTAAACTGCAAAACCATGGATCTATCTTAACCTAAAAGGAGGACACATTTAATTTAGACTTATCTGGCAGCAACTCAAAAAGACAAAGAAACAGGTCAGGACACTCCTACTGGCACCCCAGAACAAGACCTAGGAACGACAGGAAGATTATGGGAAAGAGAAGCGGATTTAATAAACTGAATTTGCAGGGGTTCCTGATCTTTCTATTGCAGAATGAGACAAAGCTTCCAACACTGGAGACAAAGTCCTTGTTGCTTGGATGCATCCTCAGCCACAGTAATCACGTTCTTAGGATGCTGGCTAACAGTGCACTACATCCCAAACGTAATTATGATATCTACTCTGATCTTCCACACAGCCTTCATTAAAGATCATAAACTGAAAAGAATTCCCACTGTAACACTGGCCAATGAAGCGAGTCTCTCAAAATGGGAACTACCAGCATTCAAAAATGTTATTTCTATGTAACTACAGTTCAGCCTGTGTAACAGGTTCAGTCAGATAACACAATCCAGAAACATGGATTTCCATCTCCCTACATAGAACTGACTATAATCCTGCTCTTCATACTGTTTAATTTTACTCTCCTCTTGATCTACTGGGCTGTACACCCAGACAGCAAAAAACTGCCAAAGTGCAATTACACCAACAAAGATTGGCAGGTCCAGAACAAGAATATACGGCAAACAGACCACACGTTACTTGCCCCAGTAACCTTACTGCTACATAAAGGCAGATTCTGACATATAAGTTTATTTTTCACAGAAGCAGACAGTGAAAGAGACTCCTGGAGATAATTTTTCACATTAATTTTAAGGTAATACAATGTTTTGAGAACTTTATTTTTAATTCAATCCAAATTTTATCAGCTGGTGAAGTAATGAAATGAGATTAATGTAAATATGATCAGTTGAGATAGGCTGTGGATACTGGCCTGTTTAAACTGTATGCTGTTAGGCTATCAGCAATGTAAGAGTAATTGATGTAGCAAAATCTAGACAACAATAAATGAAGAAAACATGTGAGTATTATTAAGAGTAAGCTACCGTTACAGCAGAACTACATTTTATAGTATGGGAACAAAATGAGAATTCTGGCTAAGAACCCACTGCCCCTCTAATGTGCTCTGAGACAAAGAAAACTGCTGAAGCCAGAATAATACCATTAGCAGAATCCTGTTAGAAAATTAGACTTACAGCTGGTAATAAGAGACTCTTAAAACTATTACTACATTAACTTCTGGAAAATACATAAGGAGATTTATAGCTACCACAAAAGACTATTGCTTCACTGCTATTGTAAGCAGTATCAAACCCAGGCATTAAATAATGTTGAACTAGAACTAACCTAAGAAATTCAAGATTTTGACTGAGGCTCTGCTTTTAATTAGCTCAATTTCAGGGAGAGGGAGATAAATGTTCATTTTTGGTTTAGGTTAGTGTTCATAGATTCGGAGAACACCCAGCCACTGCTGAGGATGCTGGAAAAAAAGGCTGTTAAATAGGCTAAGATCCTGAGGCTCTCAAACTTTTCCCAGACCTTTTGCCAATTCCCAGGAAGACATTCAGCATGTTCCAGTTCTCACCCTGGCCCAATCTTCCCCCAACTATTCCTCCTCCTTACCAGAAGGGAAGCGGGCACTTCACTGCATTTGGATGCAGACTGAAGAGAGATCAGACAACTCCTAAGTCAAAGACACCTCTGTGAGCAAACCTTACTGGCACAACCACATGATCTTATATCCGAAACCCAATTAGGCAGCTACCCCACATACCAGCTTTGCTAATCAGTGCTTCTGTTCTTCAGCAAAGAACAATACAGGAGAATTTAAGTCACTGTCTTCCTCATCTGCAAGGCCAGTTTGTCTTCTATCTGCTGTAAACAGACCCTTCTGTGGTCTGCACACGTCCTTGGTGTTCCAAGTAGAAGACAGTCAGAGCACAGTGTTCATAACACCTCCATTGTGGCCCATGTTACAGCACAGTCTGGCAGATACACTGGCACAGAGCCACCATCTTTTCTAGAAGGGGCTGAGGAAAAATCAGACAAAAGAAAATACATGCTTTCCTACCAGAAAGAGTCTTTCTAAGTGCCAGCTTTCACTTGCCTTATCTCTTTGTGCTATCAACATAGTACAGCAGGACCACATACCAAAGGAAAGTTGATCTCACAGGCATCTACAACTATGTGACTCCTTTCCTGGACATGGGGTTGAGTGAGGATTCTGAGATGTCTTACAGCATTTTGGGGGGCTTAGGCAATGACTTAGGCATTTCGCATAAGCTCTGAGAGTAATTTCATAACACTGAATTTGAATAGTGCCAATAGGGCCCCCACTGCAGTGAGGCAGCTAGGCCATCTAGAACAGCTGACGCAAGAAACAGGGACACAGTCAATGCACTGTTTGCTCCTTTTCCTCCCTAGGAGATCCCTCCCAATTACCCTGTATGGCACTGCTGCAGGGCAGCTCTCCCTTCCAGCCAGAGGACAGTGCAGTGATGCAGGTAAGTCACATATGAGATGTATGATGCAATGCTTGTGCTCATTTCCTCTAGTAGACAGCTCACAGCTGAGCTCAATAGTAGCAGTATAAAGCAGAGAGGAAAAATTAGCTCTGCCTCCTACATATTAATGAGCTTTCAAATCTCTGCAGCGCATCTGTTCGGACATCTCCAGAGATCTTAATCTATGTTAGGAACTAATTAAAGTTATGAGGAAAGATCCCATCCCTTAGCACATTTATCTAAGGAAAAGGGGCCTGAGAAGCCTGCAGTCAGGTAGAGCACAATATGCTGGCAGCTTCTGAGGACCACAGTGACACCTCAGGTATGAGAAGTTTGCCAGGGACAGGACCATGGGGCACAATGTTGCTGACCTATGCCAGAGATGCGATACTGTCTACATACTATACATCTTCCTAGCTGCCAAAACTGTCTAGAATCCTAGAAGTGGAAAAGTTATTTGTCTTCCCCCTTGCTAGGTTGCAGGTCTTGTCCTCTGCTTCTTACAGCTATCCCACATTATGGGCCCAAACCAACATGCTATCAATTGAAAGGCAAGCTGATTCAGAAAGCAAGCAAGAAAGCAAATAATGGCAGTTGGATTCACAAGCTGACACATATGTTCAACAGTGATAAACAAGCTATTGCAATAAAAAGTTTTACTGTGACTATTACTGGAATTACTTAAATTAGAACAAGAGGGGGAAAAGTCGTCCTCATTTGAAGTGGTCACTCTCATTGCTTACGATCTCAGCTACACAACTAGCTACTATGATTTTAGCCATCAGCTGTGGCTTAAATGGGGTATTACACATGCTGGCAGGCCCACTTACATAGAGGAAACAGACTTCTGCACCTTCTTTCATAGAGTTTGTAATCCAGAAACAAACAGACGACTGTGTGCAAAGTCTGGTTCTCCTGATCCCACATGGATATCAGCTCCAAACCCAACATTTCCTTCACTCAAATTCCATATACACTGGCCTACTTTCCGTATTTGTATTCAGAACTAAAACACTGCAATAAATGCAGTAATACTGTACAGCAGGTGTTGTGCAGATCAAGATCTTTGTTCCTACAGGGATAGGTGGGTGAGGCTTTGTACTTTAATTGTGCTGTTAAGAAGCTTACATGAGTCATTGTGTCTCCTCTTTTTTGCCTCTCTAATGGCCTTGTACTATATCAACACGCATGTGTGTGACGGAATCATGGATGTAGCAAGAAGAACTTCGAAGAGTCCCTGCAGAGATACCAATGCAGCTAGTGATGTTTCTAATCTTAATTTGGAATGACAATACATAAGAAGTTGCATTGCTAATAACAATAAGAAGAAAAACAGATCATACTAACAAATCACAGAGAATCCAAATTATGAACCAAACAAAAGTAGCCCAGCTAATCTCTTCTGAATGCTGGCACTCCAACAGGTATTTGATAGTCAAGGCAGAATAAATATCAAGACAAAATTATTAATTAATCCCTTGGGAGGGGGAAGTGGGAAACAGGAAGGGAATGTAAGTTGTCTTTGTGGAATGTTGTCAGATGATAATTAAAATTCCAGTCTTTACTGAGGCCTCTGCTGGAATGTGAGAAACACTGGGTACATTCCCCTCATGCACATACACACTTAGTGTTTTATTTTTCCATGGCATGCTGGTTAAAGGCTCACAGCTGCATTCTTACTTGGTTTCTCAGTAATCTTGGTACATAAACACAGTGACACCCAAAGCTGCATTCCTCAGCCCTGGTGCTTTGTCTGAAATCGAAGCCATTTTACCCAGGAGTGAGATACATCTGTAGGTCCCTGCTGGGACTAGGAGCAAAGTGCTGTACAGGATCATCCTAGGGTTTAGTCTCCTGCCTCCACAAAAAGCTCCTCAAACATGCTACCAAAAATGACTTAGGAAATATTAAGTGGCCAGCAGAAATCTAATTTCACTTTCAAGTTGATGGAATTTAGCTTATGCTCTAAACCACTACTTAATTTTCATTATCTATCACACTGTTGATTGGAGCTGTTACCCAAAGCACTTTCATTTCACAGGGAGGGGAAGAGGAGAGGGAGATGTGAGTTTTCTTCTTATGGTAGTTCCCCAGAAAATGCAGTCTAACACTGCCTGTACGAGGGGCAGACACATCTCTTCACCACAGGGCCAGTTCCACAATTTGTA